AGAGGAGGGGGGGGGGAGAGAAAGGGAGAGAGGCCGATTAAACTCTCATTTATAAAAGTATAATTTCGAGCTGAAAGTTTTGGGGTCATCCCAGTTCGCGGATTAATGAGGCAAGTAAAAAAAGTAAACATCGTATTTATATAAACATAATATTTCAGAACTTACGACACCTAAAATAAATTTGAGAAATTTGGATCATTATTATAACGTCTAGACAGTTCTGATAAACCTTGATCCTGCTATTTACTTTGTATGATTTTAATATTCAATAATAAGATTGAAAGACCGCTAATGTTAAACATAATAATTTTAAATTAAGAAGCGCCATAACGGTCAGAACGTTAAGATGTTGAACTATTGTAAATTCATTTAAATGAATTAATTTCAGAACTGATAATTGCGTGCCGATATGGTTGTCGGACTTTCAACGCAATCAAATCTGAAAATATTAATAATCCCCCCAAATTCCCCAACTTAAAAACTGTAATAAAACTTATTGCGAAAAATAATGCCTCGGCCGGGAGTCGAACCCGGATCTCTTGCATTCCGTGCGAGCGTCCTAAGCCTTTAGACTACCGAGACCTATTTTATTATTCGTTTTTGTCCCCTTTTTTTATCTACCCTAAGACCGTTTACGAATATTCATTCTTACAAATATTTTATGATTCATCTGTAAACGGAGTTTTGAGTCATTTTTCGTGAGTCATTGAAACCAATTAAAATTCACATACCTCATTTTCTTTTATCTTTACCACGTACGTTTTTGGTATTAGAACATATCATGTTATTGGTTATTCAATGTAAACTCCATCTCTTTTATCATAGCGAAGATCCCTCTAATTCTGGGGGTCGATTGTGTATCTCGAAATGAGGTGAAAATTACAAAAGTGAGCAAATTCACTAGAATATTCATAATTTAATTGGTCAATAACTAGTGAATTTGCTCACTTTTGGAATTTTCACCTCATTTCAAGATACACTTTCTTCTTCTTCTTCTTAACTCCTGCCTCCCGAAAATAAGCGGAGGCAATATGGCCAGATCACGTCTGATGTAGCGTTGGATAAAATGAGTAATCAGTAAACTCCAGGAGATTCGGCGCTGCGAGATGAAAAATTCGTCTCGTATATCACACAACCTAAAGATGCCTAAAGAGGTTGGGATTCACGCGGTAGAGGCACAGTATAACCAGTAGCTAAAATTCCAGGGTATAAAATTTCAATGCGCATGTGCAAAAAATCCAACTGACGATATGGCGGCTTGGCGGCTTTGTTCGCCAATTACGAATCATAACGTTCAATAAGGTTAGAGTAACCCACAATATTATTGTATAATAAAGAAGTAGAAAAGGAATATAAAGGTACCCTCTATCACACCGTTTTTTTTTTATAATTGGGAAGGGCGCAAAGCCAGTTCTGCATAGGCATTATAAGACACAAAAATAATAAAAAAGAAATATTAAAATGGGTGGATATAGTTGCGCTGTAAAAGATTGTAAAAATGTGACAGATACTAAGGGAGTTAGTTTTTTTAGATTTCCAAAAGATCTCGAAAGATAAAATTTATTAATCTCACCACACACACACGCACGCACGCACGCACATACGCACATATGTTTAAATAAAATAGTAATTTGGATACATTTTCCCTTTAGAGCTAAATTATGGTTGCAATTTTGTAATAGATGTATAGAAACAGCTTTAGAAAAGTTAAATAAAAATTATAGAATTTGTAGTGAACATTTCACACCATCAATGTTTTTAAATAATTTAAGAAATAGGCTTCAATCACACATGCAATTCCAACAATAAATTTGTCAACAGTAAATGTGGAATCCTTATCAGTAAATGTGGAAGGTAAAAATTATATATTCTGTTTTGTTTAAATCTATACTAAATTTATATGTATATAGAGCACTTTATTACATAATTTCATTAATAAATTTTCATATTTAAAATGATAAATGTTAATGTAAATATTTTAACTTTATTTCTGAATTGTAATTTTATATTTACATTTTTACATTTACAGTTATACATTTCTTAATAAGTTTCCTTTTTGTTATCAAATTTAATTGAAATATAACTGATTCACATTGACTATTTATTATTAACGTATCAATAATTTTACTAATTATATAATGAACTTTTAATGCTTTTTTCTATTTTAACCTGTTCTATTGTTTTATTAAATATAAAAATTATTGAAACTGATTCTTCAAATAAAATAAACTTCAGCTGATGTTAATGTTACTATGGAATTACCAGAAATAAAAATAAATGCAAAAAATGTAAATGAACCAAGTATATCTAAATCACATAAATATTTAGGAACAGAAATGATTAATATTGACAAAGGTGAATAATAAAAATATTCACTTTATTTAATTTTTTAATTCTTTAATTTTTTTATTATTTCTAGAAGATAAAATAAAAAATGTTGAACATAAGAATATCAAAATTATGGATATAGTTATGGAAACTAAGTTCGCGCAAACCGAATCAAAATTATCCTATAATACTCTAAGAAAAAAAAAGTTAAGATACAAAAACATTTATCTTCAGAAGAAAATAAACAGACTAGAAAAAAAGATTGCATTTTATGAAACTAAAAAAAAAATTATTTACATTTGAAGATTGGAATTCGCATTGCGACAAATTTCTTCCGCCACAAATAACTACTTTTGTCAAAATTCAAGCACAACTTCATAAATAATCTAAAAAAGGTAAAAAGTATTGTAAGGAATTTAAACAAATTGTTTACTACTTTACTTTTCTTCACCAAAAAGTTATAAATTATTAAGCAATACTTTTTACTTACCTACCTCAAGAATTGCAATCGAAAATCACACAACACACACGATTATATTTTTCATGTTTTAAAAAGTAAAGTATATAATTTTAATAATGTTGACAAACTCTGTATTATGTGTATGGATGAAGCTGCTTTAAAAGCAAATCTTACTTATAATATCCATCTTGATGAAGTTGTTGGTTTTGAAGATCATGAACATGGCAAATCCTTTTTATCAGCGTGTAATATAGCTGTTATTATGTTACGAGGTTTATATCAATCTTGGAAACAAAACCGCTAGATTATTTTTTCCTCAATTCCACATTTAAAGCTGATAATGTAAAAAGAGTTATTTTAGAAGCTTGTGAAATTACAAGCTATTGGATTAAACGTAATTGCTTTCATTAGCGACATAGGTAGTAATTTTGTACAAATGTCGGAAAAATTAGGCGTTACTACCGAACGACCATATTTTGAAGTAAATAATAATAGAATTTTTTTGACTCACCACATATTTTAAAAGCCGTTCGCAATAATTTTATTACAAATATTATTGAAGTAGATTCGAAATGCATTTCTTGGACCTACATCGAAACTTTATATAATGTAGACAAAAATAACGATAATCGGTTGGCGTCTAAATTAAGTGATTCGCATATACATCCAACAAATTTTGAAAAAATGAAGGTTAAATTTGCAAGTTTTAAGCCATACTGTGTCTGCTGCTTTAAGAACTTTTATCTCATTAGATATGCTATCAAAAGGTGCATCAAATACTGCTACATTTATAGAAAATATAGACAACCTATTCGATATCTTCAATTCTTTAACAATACAACACTCAAAAAAATATAAAGAAGCATTTAAGGCTGATGATTTTCAAATTAAATTCTTATTATATGGTATATGAAGGAATATTTTTCGACATTAAAGGTTTATAGTAAATCAGGTAATGATATAACAAATAAAGTAAAAACCTTTAAATGGTTATTATATAAATATAAATAGTTTACTTCAATTATGGCCATATTTGCAAAAAACGATGTCAGAAGTAAAATTTTGATTTATGAGACGATTCAATTAAGATCCTTTAGAAAACTTTTTATTTTCGATCATCGATTCAGGAACAACGAATCGTGGTGAATCTGAGTTTTTACGATACACAAGACCTTGAATTAGCACAAATTTCGGATGATCCATAAATTCCAATTGTTGAGCTATTTCCTTGATCTTAGGATCCTGCAATTGTTTTATTTCTAATTCTCTCTCGAGAGGTAATGCTTCTACAAGTGCTGAGACATCAGAGTCAGAAATTCTGCTGAGAGTGTCAACATGTGCCATTCTATGACCAGAACGATGTAAGACCTTGAATCTATAATTCTGAAGTCTTAAAAGTCCATCCAGCAAATCTTGGATTCAAATGTGCTTTATTAATTGCATAAACCAAGGCATGACAGTCCGTTACAATTGTGAATTCCAAACCATAAAGATATATATGAAAACGTTCGATGGCTTTCACCACAGTCAACATCTCCAGTTCAAAACTATGATACCTTGATTCAGCTGAATTCGTGACCTGGCTGTAATATGCAATAGAAGCCAATTTGTCAGAATCCTGTTTTTGAAAAAGAATGGCAGCTAATGCTAACGCACTCGCATCCGTATGAAGCTCGGTCTCAGCATAAGGATTATATAATCGTAAAACAGGGTAAGAGGTTAACTCATTCTTGAGAGACTGAAAGGCTTGCAAATAATCATGATCAAAATTAAATGTAACTGACTTTCTCAATAGATTATGTAATGGACGTGCTTTAACAGCGTATTCCTTTATGAATTTACGAAAGAAATTCGTAAGACCAAGGAAACGCTGCAGCTGATTAACATTTTTTGGCTCTGAAAAGTCTTTGACAGCTTTAACATATCGATCACTTAAGGTAATCCCGGAAGGGAAAAGAATGTAACCTAAGTATTCAATTCTCAGTTTTAAAAAGTGACATTTTTTATAATTAAGTTTAAATTTGTATCTTTTCAGCAACAAAAGTACCTCTTTCAAAGTCGACAAGCCATCCTCGACCGATTCAGATGGCACCAAAATATCATCAATATAAATCAACACTTTGTCTTCACGTAAAAAGGGTTGGAAAATTTGAATCATCCTCTTTTGGAACTCGGCCGGAGATTCATAATAACCAAAGGGTAATTTGGTGTACTCAAATTGATCATCAGGGGTCGCGAAGGCAAAATATTTTGTATGATCCGGATGAACATCTATCTGGTGAAAGCCATCTTTTAAATCCAGTAAAGAAAAAACCTTCTTATTGCCAAGTCGAGCAAAACAATCTTCCATTAATGGAAAGGGGTATTTTTGTTTAACAATGCGGTCATTCAACGGTTGCAAATCGACACATAGTCGCATTGTACCGTTTTTCTTGGTTACAGGTACCACTCTCGCGCAATAAGGAGAAATACTTGGTTTGATTATACCTCTTTGCAAGAGATCGTCTGTAATCTCTCGAATCTGAATTCTTTCTGACCACGCAAAGCGTCGAGGAGAATATGAGAATAGGTCGTGTTGTCTTTAAGAGACACCGTGACTGCATGACCATCCTCTATCGGAATAACAGCCGGATTTTCGATTTCATGAATTAAAGATGTAAGTTTTTCATTAACCGATGGACCGAAATCAGATTCAAAAGATATATCATTAATTAAAGTAGGTGAAATAGATAGACAATTATCTTTCAAAGAAGCTATCTCAGAAAATAATTGCATCTTTGAACTTTCGCTTCCAAAAGATTCGCAAATAATAACAATTTTATACGCTTGCAGGAAATCACGACCAAGAATTAGATCAACAAAAAGTTCATCATCCTCCAAAACAAGAAATGGAACTTTGAAAGTTTTATTTTGAAAAACTGCTAGCTGAAAATTGAAAGTGAGTTCTTCAAAAACTTTAATTATTGATTTATTTAATGCTTTGAAGGTAAGTGAAGGAACATTCAATATATTGATCTAAAGGTTTATTAATAAATCTTGAAAAGATTGAAGGTCGGATAAAAGATACAGCACTTCCTGTATCAATTAATGCATCTAAAGAGCAACTCGTATTATTTATCGCCGTCACCTTAACTTATATTGTCGTTTATGCTGTTAGAAGATTCGACATCTATAAGTGCCACAGTCGGTGAGGAAGGAGACTAGTCGGAAAAAGACCGTCGGACAGTTTGATGGAACTCATGAGGCCACCGTGGATATATCTCTCGCTCGCCACCGCGGAAATCTTGCTCTTCGCCGGGACCGGAGAAGTTACCGCGATTCCCGCTAAATTCGTCGTATTCGTCGAGGCTTTGAGCTCGGCACGATGAGATACGTGCGATTGCTTGTGTGGGAAAACCTTTCCTAGTTTCAAGAGTCGTAGGCTTAACCGTCTTCCAACTGTTCATAGACTCGCGGAACGCGTAGAGGCTGTCAACCTTTTATTTTCCGCGTAAGAGATTACCGAAAAAAGAAGCATTTTTTTTATATACTAAAGATTATAAGAAGATTATAATAAGTGTTTGAAAAAGAAAAATAGGATACGATGAATAAAAATAAGAAAGAAACATCACAATACTGATAGATTGTAGCGGTCGTGGACAATAAATTTTGTCAATTAATCCGACGTGACGTCAAATGAGGACACTAATTAATCGAAACATCCATTAATGGCCGTAGCTCACAGTTACATGGTGTCCAGACACCATCAGACGACTCGTTAGAAGGAAGTCTAGCAGGACTGAGAAGATTCAGAGGATTGAGCTGGCGACGTTTCTTTGACTGCAGCAACCGCTGATGCATGACCAGAAGAAGAAACTTGTGAGTTCTGCTCTTTTTTCTTCAGTCGGAAGCAATTCTCTCGTATATGACCCTTTGTCCGACAGTAGACACAAAATAAATCTTTTGTGGAATCAGTTTTGCCAGTTGATACCTCTTCTTTCTTAGGATTAACTTTAGAATTGGAAGATTTAGCAGGAACAGGAGACGTCTTTTTGACAGGATCACCATAAGCCAAAATAAGTGAGTGATTCTTATCCAGGAATTGATCAAGTGATTCCGCTTGAATCAAAGAAGCTGAAACTCTTAGAGAAGGATTGCCAATACCTGAGATCAAAAAATTAATATTTTCTTTATCGGGTAGACCAAGGTTTTGCAAAAGCTTCAATTTCTGCGTGGCATAATCCTGAAAGGTCTCTTTAATATAATTCCATTTGTGACTTTCTACCTTTTGGTATATTACGTGAAAAGGTATATCTCTTCTGAACCTCTGAAACAATAGCTTGTTTTAAGTTTAACCAGGAATCATTTACAGTACCTGAATTAAGATCCAATCAATCTTTTGCAGTCTTATTTAGCTTACTAGAGGCAGCTAAGAGTGTTACTTGATCGGAAACTGTATGGATACGGGAAACACGTTCTACTTTTTCAATCCAGATTACAACATTTTCATCTTCCAAACCTGAGAAGAAGGGAAGCTGGGATGCTAGAAGATTGACAGCTTGAGCAACAGGAACTGAAGCTAAAGCAGGCCTCTGAACGTGGACAGATGCTCCCGAAAGGACAGAAAAAGACTCGGAGTTATGAGGTTCTACGTTAGTGATCCGAGTCGAGGCTACTAATTGAATAACTTGTTGCATCATTTCGCTCTGTTGCTTCAAGAATTCAGTAAAGAAGCCAAACATCTGCTACATTGAAGGATCAGGAACAGGAGGAGAAGACCTCGAACGAGACGAATCGCACGTATTAGTGGATGGTTGAGTTGAAACTCGTACATTGCTGGATGATGTGCCACCAGCCGATGCAAAAGCAAAATAAGAGGATCATTTTGTTCCGAGTGAGTCATAATTTGATCAATCAGCCATTCACGAGAAGAGGCTGGTATAAATCCATAATTGAGAACTTCTAACTTGAGTTCTTCAAAAAAGAGTTGATCCAAGCAACTTCGATCCATTTAGACAAAGAAAATGATGTGATGTCAAGGTAAAACTACTCCGGATGGACTACGTATTGTGTGAAGCAAAATGTATGCTAACCTTCAATTGATCTCTTCTATATAAGATCGTACAATGGCGGATTTTTCCGTAATTTCAAGTCAAGACTGCCAACAACAATAGTGTTAAAGCATCGGGCTCCATAAATCCATTAACGACTCCGAAGATGATCAAAAGACGTATTAATCCAAAATCAATTGTAATATCCCACTTCTGAGCTGTAAGATCAAATCTTCTTGATGATTTATATTATATAATCAATAAGAGTCTTGGAATTAAAGTCAGGTTTATTTTTAATAAATTGGTCAGCAGATTTACAATTTATGCTATACACATCCTTTCGACTCGACGGATAACATTCGACTGCCTACTCGATATTTTATTTGTTCCTGATCAACAGATCTGTCTGTTGCTAGAAGACAAATCGTGCCGTGTATTGATCGATCGATCTCGGTGTGAACATAGTCATTTAGATGTACTTTTACAATATCATCAACCTTAGATCCATCAGTGTAGAAAACCGTGGTGTTGCTTAACTGAGATTTGAAAACCTCCTCAAAGACGAACTGAAAGACATGGGTAGGTATATCGTCAAGATTTTTGAGGATTGAGTTGGGAAGGGAAAGAAATGTAGCATTCTCTACAATAGAGGAGTAAGAGTTTTGATATGCAGGTAACGACGGAGTGGAGTGAAGGGTATTCCTGTGTGACTATATGCGAATGAAGACCAACGCCGCAGGAAAGTTTTTGCTGAGATAATGGTTAGAATCAGGGTTAGGCAACAAGGTATATAAGTCTAGAAGTTTATTGGTAACCGGATGATCTTGGATGGAGATAATCCCAATGAAATATTTGGCTGTTAAGAGTTCTTTGATTGAGAAGAAGAAGCTTGGTTTTGGCGTGCATTACATTGATGGGAGTAGAATTACGATATCCGCACGCAAGACGAATAGCCTGGTTCTGGACCCGCTGTAATTTAGTAGAAGACTGGTTGGAGGACAAGTTGGACTTGAAGGCAAAGATAAGTGAGGCATACTCAAAAGAAGAGCGTATCATGGCAATAATAGATATTCAGTAGTAAGGGGTTAGCTCCCCACCACGTTCCTCGCAACATAGAGAGAACAGCGTTAACCTTTCGAAATGATGTAGTCCATATGCTTGGAACCAGAAAGTTTCGGGTCAAGATATACTACAAGAAATCTCATGAAGGACGAAGGGGTGATGAGAGAAATACCAAGATTTACAGGCAGTGATTTCCTTTTCCTAGAGAATATCATGAGCTGAGTTTTGTTAGCCGAAATCTCAAGACCTCTATCCTTCAAAAATGCTTGAAATTTAGCGAGCGATTGTTTAATAGAGTGAAGGGAAGATGTAAAATCAGAGTTAGAAGAGAAAATAACTAGGTTTTGTATCCTTCCTCCGGAGAGATCGTTAAGGAAGCAGCGGATGTCTCCTCAATTATGGCGGATGCTTTTTCAACGAGTAATGGGGTCACGAGTTTCAACTGAAATCGAGTTAAGCGTATTCTGTGAGAGAAGACGTTGATCGATTTAATTCTTTCATTAATCGTTACAAATATCGGAAAATGATCGCTACCATGAAAATTGGATCCCACCGAGGCATGGCTGAGGAGGGCGAGATCAGCGGAGGAGAAAGAAAGGTCGATAACAGATGGAGTTTTAGAAGGATGAGGAATGAAAGTAGGAGAGGAGTCTGGATTTAGACAGATGAGATTTAAAGATTTCACAAGATCACATAGAATAGTGCCCGCCGAGTTGATTCTGTGAGCGCCCTAAAGAGAGTGAATGGGCGTTAAAGTCACCCGCAAGAAAAAGTGAAGGGAATTGACTTAAGAAAGAGTGAAATCAATTGATAGTATCGCGTGGAAAAGGAGAGTTAGGATGTCTATAAATACCGACGATGGGAAAAGAAGAATTGCAGGTAAAAACTTCTATAGTCAACATTTCAATAGATGGCAGGAGATCCGGCAGCGGGTCAATAATTGAGTATTGGATCGAACTTCTGACCAGAATGAGAAGGCCTCTGGTATCGTGAGAAATTGAATCACGTCTAATGCAGTCAAAGCCCCTGATTATAAAGGAATGATGAGGAGTTAAACAAGTTTCAGCGAGTATTAAAATGTCAAGATCCTCCATCATCTTCTCAATCTCAGGTTTTTTGGATAAGGCGCCACGGCAATTCTAAAAAGAAAGCCTGAAGGAATAAGCTGGGGAAGAGTTATTGTTATTATTAGAGGATTGAGCTGACATAATAAATTAAAATTTTTTGGTGAAGTTTGCAAGGATCTCTTGGATTTGTCGGAGGCTTTGATACATGCTGGAGTTACCTTGTTCGGGAGAGAAACTACTCAGAAGTTTAATGCGGGGTCTACAATAGAAGTCGTAGCAGTCGTAGGGTCTTAAGTCGTAGAAAATTGACCAATCACAGTCGAATATGAGAACTAATGTGACCAAATCGCAAACAAGAAAAACACATAAGGACACGGGGAATGTAAGGGATAATCGGGAAGGAAACATGCATATAAGTCAGTGCACGAGGTAGAAGTTGGCCCTGAAACTTTACCATAACTGAGAGGGAAGGCATCAGCTCGTCTTTGTTATCCTTTATAATTCTGCGTTGTAGCTTCCGGACTGAAATGCTTTTTGCTTGAGAGGTGAATTCTTTGAGGATAGTTTCCTCAATTATGTCCAGAATAATTTTTGGCAACGCTGGTTCTCATAACCCTAAAAGAAGGGATAGAAGCTTTTAGATCATGTGATTTTAATGATTCAAGGTGAAGGATATTATTTGCTTTTTCATGATTATTTAGTGCGACCGAGACCTTGTTACGTCCGGCCAATTTAATCTCCACAATGTTATTACCGACATAGTTGGTGATGATGCGGCTGACCATGACTGGATTAATACGAGTCGTAGGGCTGTCAGAAGCCTTCTGAATCAAAACAATGTAGGGGGGGAGATCCCTGGGGAAGTATTGACAAACAGTGCCTGAGGAAGGGCCTTGAGTTAACTGCGAGATGATGGCACTCTTAGTCGGAGGTTCCCCATCAGTCTTGCCTGAATCATAAGTACGCTTAGTAAACTTTGGTAAGGTCTTTTTGTCCGTAACCGGAAGATTGTCACCAGTTTTTTTGTTGGAGGAGGTTAACTCGATTCCGTAGTCCTATAGGCTATCAGACTGCATAGAAATATCTGAAATCGAATTGTTATCACACTCCCCTTCTTCCGAGACAATAGGGAAACGAGATCTTTTTAACCCTTTGTGAGTATCATCCGAAGTCTTCGGAGAGGAAGAAAGTTCTTGCCTCGTAGAGTGGGCTTGAGACTCAGGATTTTTTGGACCTTTAATGGATTTCTTATCCTTTCTTCCACGGGACATCTTAAAATCGTTAAAAAGAGGAAATTTTAAAAAGCGCTGTTTGGCAGAATGAATTTTATCTAAGCGAGACAATGATGAAGCTCTCGGCTCGCGCGAGGTTAAATTAACTTTCTCGAGGAAAGTATTGAAATCCTCTAGTGGGACAGAGTTACTTACTTTCGGTAATTTAGAATTCCATTCTCCTCCCGGATCGGGGGCGAGCTGGCCCGTAGACGGACCCTCTCGCATATCACCACTACTAGGAAAGGAAAGAGGATAAAAAGAAAGAAAGAGAGGCAAGGGGGAACTGGATTAGAGATAAAAGGTTAAAGCTGGGAAGATAGATGCAGCAGAGATCGCTAGACCGTCACAATAAAACAGATAACGTCTTAAAATAGTAGACGATAAGCAAGAATAATAAAATTCAAAAAAAGCCGTTAAGAGGTTACGCATGCGCCGCACGAAACACGTCCGCACTCAACACGTCGCCCAAACAAATCCCATTTCAAGATACACAATTGACTCCCTGATCGAGTCTACTCTCGTTAACTGTTCATAACATACGAACTTACAAATTAATCAGCTTGTCTGTATCGTTGTATTCGGTATTAGATGGTCAGAAGACAGTGTTCGACCCTTTTATATTATATATATTACGGTGCAATGCACTAGTAATAGAATGCATTATGTCAATGCACATATAGATAGATAGATAGATAGATAGATCTTTATTACTTCAGCATTAATCAATGTACATATATAGGAACATAGAATAAGGCAATAACGACCCGACAAGTTGGAATTCTGTTTATCGCCTTATATAGTCTACCAATCAGAGTTTTTATTTTGTTTATATATGCTATAATCTTGAAGCAGATAGAATATACCACAGTCTATATATGTACACGCGATCAGATTAGTTGGTCTTTTTATTTTTTTCACAGCATTATGCAACAGGAGGCGACAATTATATATCGCTTATTTCTGTACTATTCCTATTGCTGTTCTTGTTGCTGTTGCTTCGTATTGTGTCTATAGGGCTTAAGTAGTCAGAAATCTTAAAAATGATAGATCTGGAGAAGGCTTATCTTAAAATCGATAGTTGAAATGAGTGATATAACAGAAACAAACAACGGTATTGTATTGCCTATTTACCGAGCAATTGATTCTTATTTGTCGATCCACGAATAAGAACCAATCGCTCGTTGAGCAAGCTGTATTCCGAAACCCATAAAAAAAAATATGTTGCAACTTTTTAGACCCCGACTATACAGAAAAATGTTATAGAATGTTGTAGAGATAGAATTTAACAGATATAGTGTTTTAGAGATAAAACTTAATAGATACGTAAACAATTAAGGCTCGATTGCACCAACGTTATTTTGACTTTAAGCGAGACTTAAAAGTTCGTTTTAAAGCTGAAAAGAGACAGGAATAAAGAGAATTTTAAGTCTCGCTTAAAATTAAAGTAACATTGGTGCAACCGGGCCTAAGACTTTGTTGGTTCGTATGTTTAAAATCTTTAACGGTCAGACGATAACAATAACGCGTCAGAGGGACAAGAAGCTGATCTAAAAGATTATCTTCCAAGTTCTGCAATGTTTAAAATATGTTCAATAATTTTTTTTACTTCAAAAAACGAAAACTGTGAGTATAATAACCACGATTAAATGCGCTAGAGTCCTAGTGTGATCATTACGGAACTTTCAAAAAGTATGACCACGAAGGATTAAATAATTTGTGTAATATACATTATATAATTATAATTTAATAAAAAAATGAATTTTTAATAAAAAAAGGAATTTTTAATTACACGATTAAAAGTAAAATTAAAATTTTGTTTTTATTCGTTCTGTGAAAAAGGCTAAATCGATATTCGATCATGTGTGCACATTTTCATTCTTATTATACTATTTATATATATATATTGATCTATGAAAAAATTAAAAATTTTGGAAGTTATTATTATTGCTCCTTTTTATAATATTATACAATAATAAATACAAAAATTCATGACAAACGATAATTCGATATTTGATATTACGCAGAAGTGCTCATATATCTAATTAAAATTATGTATTAGATTACTATAAGAATAATAAAAAGAAATTAAAACTTGGATCTATGTATATGCAAATGAGATTTGTAGGATATTCTTAGAGATTGTTTGGAGTTATATAGCTTGTTACCATATCATCATGTACAGGTCTACACAATCTATTTAAAGTTAAGAATTAAATAATAAAGTTTTCAATTACGCAAGAAATTGTAAATTTGATTAGATTATAAAGTGCTAAGGCACCAGAGGTAAATGTAAATAATAATAGTGATTAATATTATGTTACTTGCTATTAATATTAAGATCATTAACTATAGAAGTTTATTTTGTGTGTAAATATGTTTAATAGTAATACGTACATGTTGCAAAGATATTTATACATGTTTACATATACAGGTATACCCTACATCTCTTGATAGTCTCAGACTTCTCGTTCTCGTTTATTTCAGAGAATAAAAGAAATTAAATCTTTTTTTGTATATACTCATCCCGTTAATTGCTATTGTATATACTTTCGATCATATTCATTGTAACTTAAAAAAACCAATCATGATCGAATTAAAAAAATGAGTTTTATTAATAAACAAATAGACAACAATGATAAAAAAACGAATATATTAAAATTTCATTCAGTATTATATCATCAATTATCAAAATATTATCACGTTATGTACGTTATGTTTACGAAATATAATATATATGTATTATGAAACATACAGGGTGTCCCTCTACAAAATATCAAAACTGCTACAGCGGCTTCAACATATGAAAACAAGTCGAAAATTTGAAATGATTAATAGACATGTCCGATTTCGAAAAGTTTTGGAGTTATGGGGTATTGAATAAGAAAACAAATCGAAGTAAATGTTGTTCAGTGTCCTGTTTATTCTGTTGTTCTGATTCCTGAATCTTATTCTGATAGACTAGTAGATCTTTTATTCGTCTCCAAAATGAAATTCAGCATTCAGAACGATTGTGGCAAGAGATACTTAATGCTGCCGATATTATCCGTGAAACTCCAAATATTTTTCAAAAAGTTCAAAACAATTTATTAATGCGTACTAAAAAGTGTGTCGAAGTGTATGGAAGAATTTTGTTTATGAAGCATCTTTTGTAAAGCATTAAATAGAATAACGAACATTAAACATTTATTATAATCAAAGAGAAACCTGAGAATGGACATCCCAGCCTTTTTTGTGTATCAAACGTAGGATAATGTCCACGTTTTTGTAGTTCTCTTCCATACTATTACGTGGGTTAGACAAGGACGACCAATCAACTTTAATTGTTTTCTCTGTTACGATTCACGTTTTCTTATTTCAATATCCCGTAACTTCGAGACCGTTCGCAATCGCGCGAACATATGTTTATTAGACATTTTCGACTAGTTTTCACATGCTGAAATCGCTGTAGCAATTTTGACACTATGGAGGAACACCTATATAATACTATTTTGTTTCTATATTATATAATTATTGAATATAATAAATAATGGAAAAGCATCTTTTAGTACATGGCAATTAATAAGACGAGTTCAACACTTATATTTTTCCGATATTACCTATGTATGTTCATAATTTTAGATAGTGCAATCACATGTAAATAAATAAGTTTTTCACTTAAAAACATTTTTATAATTCATGTTAGATGCTTTACTATAAAGTTACAGCCTAATGATATACATGGACTGGATAACTTTTTTTGCACTCATGCACTTGCAATCATAATTATAATTCTAACTAAAAATTAATATATAATTATTCTTTTATAAAAGCCTAAACAATAAAGCCACTTCAGACAACTATCGCTTTTTATTTCTACAGTTTGGTGTGCTGCTGTGAACGCAACAAGATCGTTTCTGCATCAAATATTTTCGAATTTTTGTTTCAATCTACAAAGTTCAATAATTCCTTGTGAGATCACAATATTTGAAAATTAAATATTTATTCTCAATAAAAGATGAAAATTACGACGTCACATATCCAAGATAATGTTTGAGTCATTAATCAATAAACCACTTAGAATAAAACTCTAGATCTGAAACTGTTATATACAATATTTATTGATACAATTATAGTCAAATTTGACAAAATTCCTGTCAAAACATAGTGTTTCTACGATACTGTCCCAATACATGGATGCATTCCATATTCTTGTTTACATAATTTTACCTTTACACAATCCTAAGACGGAACTTTCTTGGTTTTCTACTCTGTCATATGACCTACTTTATATCGTGTTATGCTGCGTCACATATTTTCGATTATTAGCTCCGACGATTAAATCATTCAAATTTTTAAGATAACACAACGGCTGCCATATATATGGATGCATGTAAAATATTTAAAGGTACTATAAAAAAAGAATACACAAATGTGATAATTACGCACAATGGTTGATTTTGGTTTTAATAATTGCAGGCAATTTAGCAGTTGTTGCTAAACATATACATTCCTCCTGTTACCTCTGTGTGTGTGTACACAGTGGATGATTAAGATTGACAAGAGGTATAGAAGAGCAACTGCTACAGAAGGCAGTAAAATGTCAGTATGACAATCAACAGGACAGTACGACAGTCAAATGTCAACATGACAGTCTTTTGAACACCATGAGGTCATGGGAACACTGAGAACTGTAATTCGCTACGATACCATCTCGTGCCAACCGCTGCTATTTGAAGAGTTGGTTTCAAGCGAAACTGAAAGAATAAGAAATACGTGAAAAAGAAAGGAATGCGAAAGATAGTATACCAATATGATACATTAGAGCAATTTTTTCATACATGAAAAAAGTGTATCTTAGATTTTATTGTGTAAAAGCTTACCTGTCTTATCATTTTCTCCATCTGAAGAAAATGATCTCGGGCCCCATATCCTCACTGTAAAATCATCCGATACAGAAGCCATCATTTGATGGTACACTGGATTCCATGAAACACAACTGACTAATCTACTGTGTCCTGTAAGAATCGCTATAGGCAGTTCTCTTTTGATATGCCACACATACACTTTATTGTCTGTAATAAAGTAGGAAAAAAACAATTATATTCATAATTATTAGTCATGTTGCATAGTTACTTTTCTTTAAAGAAAACTAAACAGTATATAGTGATGTAATAGTAATGTATAAAAATACATCTTATTTTTGCATATGACAAACCTTCACTGCCAGAGGCAATAAAATCTTGATTAACTCCTCCGAAACAGCTATGGATAGTAAAATGTCCTTGAGTGACGCCTTGAAAACGCCTTATAAGGCATTTATCTTCTAAATCCCAAAGATGCACACCTTGATTTGCCACATTAAGTAATACGAGTCGATCTGATTTGTCTACGCTAAATGACATAATGGGATGATCCTCTTGTAATCTGTAATGGTGCATAGAAATGTCTCTAAAAAATTTTGCTCACAAAATAATATAGGTTAAATCAGTCATTTTAAATCATACATAGTGGCATCGCCTAAGTCGTCGAAAGTATAGCTGCGAATTCTGTGATGTGTATCAGCCGCTAAAACAGTTCTCCCGTCACTGCGACACCACAGACATTTTACTCTTACTCCTTCCCATGAATCAGAAACATTGCCGTCCATATCCTGAATATTTTTATATTTACAATGTACTGAGTTAAAATTTAATACATTGAAAAAGAATGTTTGGTAAAAGAATGTTTGTTTAATAAACTTTTAAAATCTTTCTTGTGTTAACTATTTAGCTGTAAATGTTTTATGTATATATCTAGTAAGGATTAAAAATTTCAAGATAAATAAAATTTTTAACTAAATAATTTAAACATATTTCGTTCTTAAATCATGACATTGTTATTTTGTAGTGATTGGAAATTTTGGACAATATTTTGTAATTATAAAGAATTTATATTTTACTTATTGAGAATTTTCAAAAAGTAGCTTTACATTGCCATAATATTAAGATTAGAAATTTTATTTATTTCGAAATTAACGTACGCATTGATAAAATTGACCACGAATTCCTCCCGTCACAAATTTATTCGAATCACGATGCCAGGCACAAGCTGTCAGCGAGTCATCCGTGCTTTGTGTCAATTTTACGCGTAATTCGCAATCAGGCGTATCGATACTCCAAAGCCACAGTTCTGGACAATCTTCAGGACCGCAAACAATTAGATGATTGCTATCAGGGCTCCAAGCAATTAGCGCTACACCATATGTATGACCTTCAAGTGTTTTCCTATGCGTCACTTTTAGTGTTTCCTACATTACATTTAAACAAGTGTTTATTAATTATACATATATTCAGAAACAAAATTATATAAGGTATTTGCTACTAAGCGCACATAAGGTATTTGCTACTCGTTTTAAATTGTAAATTTTTTAATTAGTTTTTTAAGCAAAAATTTTGAAAGATCATTATTTACTACAATTTTCTAATTTTCAACATTATATATTTTTATATATTATGTATCGACTAAATCTCAAATTTCTATCAAAGTAGCGAAATCAAAGTCTTGAAATTGTCTAAAAAATGATGAATAAGGTACCTGAGCCGAATAAGGCTCACCTAATTTATTTCATGTTTAAAAAATTCTATTCATGGGGATATTGAAATAAATTAAGTGAGAGTCAAATCTTTCTTTCACTCACAAAAATAAAATATATTTATAGAATATTTGTAAACGAAAAAAACATTTTTTAAGGCTCTGACTTTGGGCGTTATTACATGCATATGAATATAAGGCCGAAATAAAAAATAAATAAAAAATAAAAAAATAAACATTATCTTTCTAAATCAGTTTTAAAATGATTATTAATCATAAAAAGAAAATTCCTTAGGACTTACTCTATTCTCAAACATTACAATTATCTTTAATTTTGTCTGTAATTAACTCTTTAATACTTTGGAAATTTCTAGTAATTTAAATGCAATTTTAGCTTCTTACAAAATAGCAGCATTGAAAATCGTTATTCTTTGGCATAAGCCACACATAACAAATAAATAACAATAGTCATAATAATAATTACATAAGTGGGCCTTATTTAATAAATACTTGGCTTAAAAAAATACTTATATTCATTTAAAAAAATTAATTTATTTGATATTTTCCGTAGCTAGAAGGTTGAATAATATTATAATGTATTATAATAAATTATGAAACAATGTGTACTGATAAACTTTGCAACGAATTGTTGAGATTAAAGAATTAGAATCGATAGCAACACGTTTGTTTATCACAACAAAAACTTTTGTGTATGAGTCTAAAAATGAAATAGTTTATTATTCGTCTATTCTTTTTAAAACTTATTCTTAGAAAATCTTTTGTTTTTGATCATTTATTCAAAAACTTAAATATTTAAATTTTTTTGAAAAAAATCATGTCAAAGTTGATAAAAAAAATTCACAACAAATTTCTTTATTCGAGAGAATATGATACACATACTACTAACGCGCATACAGTATTACATATGTATACTCACTGGATCTACATCCCATATAATTACAGTCATATCTTTAGAACCTGTGGCGAGCTTGAGACCATCGGGTGAGAATTTGCAATACCAAACTTCGTCGCAGTGATCGTTGAGTACCTGTATGGTATGGCACGGAAACTGTTCCTCGCCACAATTATGATCCACAAGTAGAGAGACATTTTCTAGATTTGTCTGCTTTACAAGAAAAATCATTTCATTATGAAGCATTGCATAATGAGATATTGTCGAGAATATAATTTTAACAGCACAATTTTAAAAGCACATACACTGATTCGTTATATGTATAATAATAACAATAAAATAAATCTTTCACAGACATCTTTGTACTGCACAGAATCTCAATTTAAAAGTCATACGTACAACTTTGAAAAATGAGGTTTTATAAAAAAAACTTTTTGCATATGTCTTATAGCAAAAATTTCGTAGTTATAAGAGAATATGTACAATCGAAAAATAAATGTTTTATAAGATATTTTATATCTCATGTCAGAATATATCAGAATTGAAGTAAAATATTTATTTTTTGACAACTAACAGAACTTTAACAAGATAAATTATCTTAATACTTTAACATGCAGAATTAAAAGAAATGTTATGGAAAGAAAATTCGCTGCTTTTTTTACATAACACAATATTTTTAAACAAAAGGTATCGATGAAGTTGCATATATTATATATTATTTTATAAAAAACACATGACAAAAAAATTTGTTATATGCATCATATTTTATTCTGCTAAAGGAGAACGGATAAAAATTATCGATTTTTGCCCATAATCAGGAAGTGAAATGTATACGTTTCTTTATAGTTTTTGGGCTGCAGAATCACATGAAGCAATCAGTTTTCCATATAAACATGAAGAGAACATAAAGAATACAATCTTTATTCACATCGTTATGAAATCGCAGTCCGCTATGCTTCAATAATTTAAAAACTAATAGTTTTCATAACGATGTGAATAAGGATCCAGCGCAACTCGTCGGTTCGCGTAAAGGAGGCACGGCAGTGTCGCTGCGCTTGGCGCCGAGACACTACCGTGTCTCCAGATTTTATTAACTTTATTTCAATGTACCAATTTTTTTCTTGAGCGTAGGATCATTATAATAATTTTCGATTTCCATGAAAAACAAAAAAAAATAAAGAAATAAAACGATCCCTGAACGATCGTGAAAAAAGTATACATACTTTTAACTATCTATTTTTTTTGCCTAAATAAAATATTCAAGAAATCGAAGAATATCTTATTTCTGAAAGAATGGTGTGCTTAATTTTATAAATTTGGAAGTGTATACGTTTTTTGCACATAATTTATGCAATACTATTTCTCTTATCTTTTGATATTATGTTTGCAATTGCTAAACAGACATGTATCAACAATTTATTATATATAAATTGAATTAATATTTAACATTTTTTCGGATTATTTGTTTTTTTGTCGAATTTCACATATTCAACCTTTTTATGAAATTATTAATGTAGAAAGACTCTACATAATCATTATAACATTGCTGTTTTAAAGCGCTGTTAACTATAACATCATTCCATTCAATGGTACGGTCGAAATCGAACCCGGGCCTTCTCTGGAGATGAGGTTTCGAAACAATAATTTTTCCGGAATTAGGTTGTTAGCCTAATGTCGAATCCCCAACCTAGAGGATCAATGCACCTACTGATATATCTACTGATATACGAGACCTACAGTTTTTAACGCCGGCGGTGGCAAATATACTCTCAGTGGTTTACCATTGCCTTCCGAAAGGTGGCAATCAAATCAAACTTTTGTGTTCTGGATAGATTTGAACCCCCCCCCCTGGGGGTGCATTTTTGGCACAGAAAGCAGTCACACCATTAAGGTGCAACCACAATAGAAGGAATAAGGAATTAGGAATAAGGAATAAAGATTTCAACCTATCAGAAACCGTGTATTCCAGTGTATCCGATAGGTTGAAATCTTTATTCCTAATTCCTTATTCCTTCTATTGTGGGTGCACCTTTAACGCTTTAAAATAGAAATTTCGGCAGTTAGACACATTAGTAAGCGCATCAATTATGTCAATACTTAAAAGCGAGTTAATGTACAAGAACACTTTCGCTACCACGTGCGCGATGTGCCATGCCTGAATGCGCAAATTTCAGACGCTACAATTGGCGAACTGTAATCGTTTATAATTTAAAAAGTATTATAGTCTCGATATTTTCGTATAAGACTTTTCATCTTAGAATGTTCTGCCAGTGAAAGGACCTACACTTTTTCTGGGACACTCTGTGTACGTGTATGTACGTACGCACGCACGCACACACAAACACAAACATAAAAAAATTTAAAGAAATTCTCTGAAATATAGTTACAAAACAAACTGAATTCTCTAACTCCATTTTCTTATAGTTAAAATATAAAAATAAAAAGTAATATTACAAAAAACATCATAGTTTGCAATTCAAATCGCAATTTAATTCATTAATATATACCTGCGAATGTGTTATATGATACGTGCAGAGTTGATTTTGCATGTCCACAGCTTGACAAAGTAAAGAATGAAGTCTGCGTGGCGGTAACATAATGGAGGGTGGCAGAAATCTTTGCAGTCTGTCCATAAGCGCAGCCCTGGAGGCTGATCCTTTGCCATCCCAACCTGCACGTGTCTGTCAACAAGTGTCCATTTGCTAGTGACCAAATTTTCAGTTATAAATTAGTTTCAACTATATTTTAAGAATGAGAAAGCTTCAGTTGTTGTAGGAACTTATTAGTACACGACCTAAATCAATAAAATGCCATACGAAATCTGTGTTCGTTATTTAAATCAAACATATGGAATACCTGTAATTCATCTCGTCCACTGCACATCATAAATAAAGATAACTGATGAATACGACCGGTATTATGCCCCAAGGGTGTAAGCTCATTGCGCAGTACATGTAACGCGTCAAACACCATGCCTTCTTCTAAATATTCTAAATATTTTTGTTCTAGCAATAAGAATTTCATCTCCTATGGACAAGAAAAAGATATCGATCGAATTGTCAATCAAATATGTTACTAAAAGTTTGTCTGCACATCTTCCTAGCTTATTAAAATTACATTATCTTTCTTCTTGTCATTATTTAGTATTTAAGTATTTAAATATATTTCATCAGTATCTCTGTGTATATGTATATGTGCAAAAAATCTTGTAACTTTGAAATATCAATATTCTACAATATTTAATACAATTTGTGATCAAATTGCATTAAAAAGCTATTAAAGGAAACGAAGCTTTATATTTATGTATTAATTGAAATTTAAAAATAATTCTATTTTCTAAAGATCATTTCATTGTACTGATAAATCTTTTAAAATGGTATAATTTTGTAGTGACTCTTCATTAGTGCCATCAAATTGTTTACATTTTACTATTATATTTGAGCAATGTCAATGTTTACATCTGATTATTAATTTAAATGTCAAGTTGTACAAATATAATTTTCAGTACCAGATTACCTTAGATGATGTACACACATACGCGCGCGCGCATACGAACATTTCTCACATATACATACACATGGCAAAAAATGTATACATTTTTATCTTATGTGTAATAAATATACATGCATACGTATAACAAAAAAATAATAAAAAATATATAATAAAAAATTAATATATTTATTATACACTATTTATAATAAAAATAATAAAAAGGTATATAACAAATATTTACATACAATCTATAAGAACACAGTCACCAATTATATGAGAAAAGATTTACCACTAAACTCTGGTTTGCACTATCTAAAAAAGACTTCAGTTCATTAAGGTCATGGTCTGCTTTGTTCCAATCGCCATCCATAACATGCTGCCTAAATTTTGCTGCAGCGGGATGATCTAGACGACAGCCCGATTCTTGCATAAGCAAATCTGCTGTCCGACTAAAAATAATATATCTTTTGTTACTCGTTAATCATAAATTATGATCTTCATATTTAATCTTATTAAAAATTTATATAAGATCTTTTCAAAATTTGTAAATTTGTAATTTTTCAATATTAATAAATGTACAGACATGAGTATTAACATTAAAATAAACATAAATGTTTTACCTGCCAATGTTATTAAACAATAATATACAAGGCGTTTAATAAAAATCGTAACAATGCTTAAGATAGATTTCTGAGATCCATTTTGAGACGAAAATTTTAATCAAAGTGTCAAGGATATAATAATTTTTGAATTATAAGTACTTAGAGTTAGCGGATATTACCTACAATTCACGCACTTAGGTGCGGTTGGATTTTTCGTTTTATTTGAACGCGCGAACTTTAGGCGCTATGATTTGATAACTTTGAGTGCTTATAATTTAAAAACTATTAAAGCCTCGACATTTTGGTATTAGAATTTTCGTCTCAAAATGATCTCTGGAATCTATTCTTAAGCATTGTTATAGTCTTTACTGAACATCCTGTATATATACAGGGTAGTCCATTTGCAGTTTCGGATCTGAATATCTCGAAAACTACGCATCGGATCAAAAAAAGTGGATAATGAAAGTTGTTCGTCTGGAAGGGGGACATCCAATGATACCAAATTCGACCCTTCACCCTCACCCCCGGGGGCTGTGAGGGGGGAAAATAAAAATCTTAAATGGAAACCCCTACTTTTTATTGCACATTTGGATTCTGCAGAAAAAATTACATTGATTTGACCTACGATTGAAGTCATTTTCGTTGAAAGATGGCGCTGTAATCGTCAAAACCTAAAACCATCTTGTATTATAAATTTGAATTCTGTGGAGAAATCAAATTGCACCTACCAGTTAGTACTATTGACTTTTACAGAAGTCGTGTTCATCAGTTATGAAAAAAATGTATTTTGTTGCAGACTAGAAAAAAACATTCATTCTACTTTTAGCATTACCCGGGAACAACGACGTGGACGTAGTAGAATCAATTCCCATGGGGTGCTTTTTTAATGTGAGTCCCCTTGCCTCTCACAAGGATACTCTGAACTGCACAAAGATTTAACCACGAAGAAGCTGTTCAAAATTACCTCCATTAGCTTGGATACACAAGTTTAACCTTTTGTGAAAGCTGCCCACAGTTTGCAGTAACACATTTCGGGATATAGCTGCACAAGCTCTTCCAATACGTTGCTTCGTATCCTCTCTCGTCGTTGGCGAGTGTTCATAAACTGATTGTTTGATTATCCTCCATAAAAAGAAATCAGGAGATGTTAAGTCTGGTGAACGGGAAGGCCACATAAACGGTCCACCGCGTCCGATCCACTGACCAGGGTAACGTAAATTTCAATAATTTCGTACTGCTTTGGTCCGATGTCAATCCATATTGGCATAGACCTGTTGACCATCAACATCGATGGTCGTTAATGGTCTGGTGTGGAATTGTAAACGGCTACTTAATCGGATCCTACTTTTTTGACGGAAATGTAACTGGGGCAAGTTATTTGCAGTTGCTCAGAGATCGTTTGTGGGAATTCATGCAGGACGTGGATTTAGTAACTAGGCAAAGGATGTGGTTCCAACAGGACGGTGCAGGACCCTATTTTGCAGTAGCAGTACGAAATTATTTAAATTTACGTTACCCTGGTCAGTGGATCGGACGCGGTGGACCGTTTATGTGGCCTTCCCGTTCACCAGACTTAA